AAACTTTAAAGAGACCTTAGCAGTATATATAGAGTAAAGTGTCCGGAATAAAATGGCATAAGCTTCCAAAAGTTTGATTTAGTATTAACGGAGAACCATACAGATCCATTAGGTCAAGTTAATGAAACAACGAAGAAAATTGTTGCCCAACGTTTATTAGAACATTTTCAACCATATATCAATGAAATTAATACAAAAACAGATTATGCGACAATTCGAAATCGTATACAAATGGCATATCCAAATCTCAAAGATAAGCATGCAGTAAGAAATTAAAAGTCATGTATTTAATTTATGTAATCAATAATGAATTCTATTTATATTTAGTTTGAAGTCACCTATACATTATCCGAACGATTAAGACAACGTCGAAATCGACAGGCTAAAGTTTCTTCTAGCAACAATAGTAATGATAATAAAAATATGGTTTTAACTGTTGAACCACTTCAAACTTTAACTGTTTTAGCATAATAATCTTCTATCTATTTTTTATATTCTTGTAATTTCTGTTGAATCTTTTGAATCTGGTAGGATAGTTAGCATAGATTTTTGTTTTTGTAAATGTTTAGCTTGAAACAGTCGATGAGTAAGTGATTATTTCCGTCTGATGAAAATAAACATTATATTGAATGATATTAAGGTTTTGTTAGGGAGAATGAAAACTTGGTCAAATTTGTTTGTTTTTTGCTTAATTTCATTAAATATTATTTTTACTATAGATCGTGGTATTGTGAATTCGAGCAGTTTTATTACTTCGATATATAACCATATTTCCTGAATACTCTTGTTTATTCCTCGCAAAAGAAAATTTAAATTATAAATTCTCGAATAGAACAAATTACTGGTCAAACATCTTTTTTCATCCGTATATTGATCGAACGCTAACAATACCATCCTTCAAACGTACGAGTGATTCTGATGATTTTTGTACCGTTCAACCTAAGCTAATGGATCTGTATGGTTCTCCGTTAATACTAAATCAAACTTTTGGAAGCTTATGCCATTTTATTCCGGACACTTTACTCTATATATACTGCTAAGGTCTCTTTAAAGTTTCCGCGAGCAGTTCATGCGTTGTCACAAGTGGAATATATTTTTTACGCATGACCACACCATTTTAAGATGTTTATGTGCGACCACAACCCATTTCATAATAGTCACCAGTGTACACGCAGTTTTATATACTAAAAATTTCACATGGGGTACGCATCTGGTTTTTGTCTGATTGGTCATTGTAACCCAACCTCTCACACTATTTTCAAGCGTCTTTTGATGTTAGAGATAGTAAGTCTAGCAGAAAAAGCTCCAAATTTTTTAAATTCCCCTTGAAAAAATCGATTTTTTTGCGTAAAACCTCGCTAAAAATCACTTATCCAACAAAACAAGGTATACCGAAAAATTCAGCAAGAAATTTTCTACAATATGATGTGGTTGTTTAATGACAAACAATGATTTTTTTAGATGAAATCCGACCGAATAAGAGTCTTTAAGAAAGGTCATTTTCTCCTGTTTTTCGGTCATCCTAGCGACAACTACTATTCCCTAGTTTTTCAGGTAAAAAAAGTAGCAGGTTTATTTGTGAGTTACACAGTCGAATAGAGCGCGAAATTCTGCACTTTTGGTGTATAAACTAATGCTTTGAACTTTGAATTTTATACTGGAATAGTCAAAACTTTCTTTTAGTGCTGGATACTTCGGTAGACTTGGAAGTTTATGTATTAACGCCACTAGCAATTGAAATAAACTTCCTTCAAGTAAACGCTTTTGTAAAGCATGAAATTCTTCACCATTTAACTGTAACAAAATTATTTCAAATATTTTTGTACTTATTATAAGCAATTAAAAAAAGAGAGCAGTTTGCACTTTAAAACTGCTTGGAATGTTGCAAAATTTGGAGCTTTTCTTGCTAGACTTACTGTACCAAAACATCCAAGATGAAAATCTTAAGAATGAATATATAATCTTGCAGACAATTAAATGTATATCGTTTAGTATAGTAAGGAATTTTTTTCCTGAAACGATTTATAAATTCGTCGTTCCAGAACTTCTCGGACACTCTTTAGACATTTCGAGCATCCGAAAGTCGACATTTGTCTGTTTATAACTGAAATTCAACGAAAAGCTCAAGAAATCTATACCAAAACAAAGGTTTGAAGATCAAAAATGACTTTAGGCTTCAAACTCAAGAGGGAACTGCCCCAAGTTGCAAATTGCTTTTTCGCTGAAATGAAGAGAGATATGGGTAATCGATGGTGCTAATTCTGAATGCAATGTACGCAGCTGTCCTTTGCCACTCTCAGATCGGTCTTCCAATGTAGCTGAAGAAAAGAGCACACGTAAAAGAATCTGCCTGTTATCGTTCTTTTTCCTTTCTCTGCCATATACCAGATGTTTTTTTTGTTTTATTGAGTACACGTGATTTAAGTGCTCACATCTATAATGACTTTTATTCCATTCTCGAAAACATGCCATATTGTGTGTGTGCACTCTGTTAGAACAGATTTTTTTCAAAATGCTCATAACTCGGTCAGGAAATGACTGATGATCAAAACAAAATTGTCTACTTTGGTAATTCGACATGCACTATATCCTGGGGTCTCCTAAATGACTTTTAAGAAAAAAACTTTTTGATTCTGGACAGATGTTCTCAGAGTGAGTAAGGGCAGCTACGATCATTATAGAGCGAGGGTGAGGAACTAAAAGTCGCTCTTTCTACTATAGAATCTGTGTTCAATCTACAGTGAAGAAATTATTTCTAAGCAGAACTAAGTATATTCTCGGATGCGTCTTGACGGGCTCTATTGAACCGCATAATCCGTTTAGAAAAATTCATTTCTTTTCTTATGTGCGAAATAGTTGTCTCATGTGGATACTGGTTCAGTATAAATCGAACAAGCATTCGATATCCTGTATCATATCACTGTCGTTGGTGCATATGCATTTATAAACAAATGATCAACGACGTTTTTTAAGGGGAGCAGAGCTCTTCTCTAATTAGCATTGAACATGGGATTGAATCGGCATGTGGCATCCTGTGCTGAAATTTGTCTAGCTGTAATCGAGATAATAAATCAGCAATACTATTTACATGATCTGGAATATGCTTAGCATACACCAGAAAATGATACTGACACGAGTATAGAGTTAAATGTCTCATTAGCGACGTCACTGGCGTATCTCTAGAGCGGCCTTTTTGAATTATTTCTCTGACACTGTCATTATACGTGTGAAATACTATGTTTTTCTCACTCCAATGCTTTCCCACAATGCTGCAACTACCATGATCGGGAAAAGTTCACAATACACCATCGATCTTCGTATTTCATCTGTAACATAACTGGGCCAAGGTGAAACAAACCTTGACGATTGAAAATATCCACCAAAGTCTATTGCACCGTTCGCATCGGTGTACAAATCTAAATCTTGCGCAGCAATATTACGAGGATTGTAAAATGTCGAAATGCCGTTCTAGTCTTGGGAAACATATCCCACATCTACATTCCCGAGACAGGGTCACGAAATGGTGCAAAGACTGTGGTAGACAATGCAATTAAATAAGACACAAATGATCGATCCGGCATGATCCAAATAACCGAGAAGACTCAACGTTCTAGTGAATATTGCTTAACGAAATGATGTATCCACAAACGTTTATCTTTTAGCAAGCTTAACATATAACGAGTATCAAGGATGGTACCGAAATATTCAATTTTCGACTGTTGATAACGGGTCACATCAACTTATATTATGAAATGAGATTAAATTGCATTTAAACTGTTCATTTATTTTTGTTTTAGATTTCATACTCAAATGTTTCGAAAAATATATTTGCCTTTCTTAACTAAAATGTTTTTGAAAAACTGATGTTGAATTTATTTTTCTTTTCAATTCTCGACTATTTTTTAAATGGAATATCCATCTCATCCGATTTGTTTTTCTCTTTCAATCGCATTGAATATAACTATATAAAGTTAAAAAATCAATCTCGACACAAAGAATTATATTTACTAACCGAGAGAAATACAAAAAGAGAAAAAAAGTAACAAAACAGATACTATATATATGATTCAAAGAAAAAAAGCAAGAAAATATGAACAAAATGACTATTAAAAAAGAAAAGTTTCATTCAAAATTCTGGACGAGGTGTGTCATTCATGTGTAAGCCACGCTTGGTTAGAACAAAATCAAATGATGTATATATATGTTTGTTTCTCTATTATTTCTTATTCTTTGCGTACAACATGTATATTTATAGATTTTTTTTTCTCTCATTTATCATTTGTATCCGTATGATGTTCTGGGTCTCACACATACACAAAAGAATACTCTTGTGTGAAGGAAAATACAATACATTTACGAACTAAATTACTTTGACAACTTCACCTTCTTCCTTAATAACATTATCCTTCCCTATTCCTCCGTTTTAGCTTAAACACGTGATGATTTTCTACACCATTAAGGACAAATGTATTTAAAACAAAAATGTATATATATATTCATTAAGAAAAAGTAGAGTGATAATAATCAAAAGGTAAATTGCTGACATTTTACATCAGCTTTAGATTGAAACGTGCTTTCATCAGGTGATGCTTCTTTGAAACAGTAAATCAGACTATATTGATATCCTAGCAAACAAAACGGTAGGGTAAGCCATGAATTAAGAACCACTTTTTTTAATGTTCATTGGGCTGTGACTGTATTTACATTTGTATCTCTAAAATCATTCTCAGACGTTTCAGACTTTCCTCATTCATTTTTCGAACTAACAAATTTATTATCTCATTTTTGGTCGATAATCAAGTAGAACAGTTTTGTTTGTTCTCTGTTCTATCATCAAATCCGATTAAGGAGGATCGATAATTCTCGTATAATCCGATCCATTTCTCCTTCGTGCCCTGTACATTTGATTCTGCAAAAAAACAGGTAAACTTTCGTCTTCTAAATTTTGTTCGCCTCAGCTATGGCTATGAATACTTTTTTACTGCAAAAGAAGCGATTATCTGCTTATTGTCTGTTTTGTTATTGTATTATGTTAAGTGTTTACAGTGAAGGTCCACCCATACTGGAAATTTCCGGCCCGATGAGGAAAGCTTTGGGTCGAGCTCGACCACGTTCAACCATTCCTTAGACTGTTCTGGACTGGCGCTACCACTCTTAGAAATACATTCATTCTTGAAGCATGACTATTTTTCAGAAAATTTGACCGGTAGTTAGCTACAAGGTGCTTTATAAAGTGGTACTAACTGAATTAGACTGCTTCTTCTGTTACATTATCATCCGGGCAAAAGTTCAGTCCGAGTCATAGGAATCTTGGATTTACAGTAAGTCATTGCTATGTGAGATTCCTAATTGAATTATACAGATGTATATTATCGTTAATCACTTCTAGAAAGAACGAAAGAATTTTACACTACGTTTACATAGCACTGTTAATCATAAATAAAATTAGTCGTGCATCAAAAATAATCATGATTGTGGACTTTGTCGTGTGAAAGCAGTCAAATGTTAAATCATAATGAATACTGATTAATCTATATTTAGCAATATAGTGTAAACATTTAATCATGATTAAAATAGAGAAGTCAACATATTTTTGTATAATATGGATCAAATAACATTATTCAATATTAGAAAGAAAGTAATTTGAGAAAGATATAAAACAAAACTACCACCTTTACGCAGATAGTGAACAAAATTAGAAAGATTTATATATATATATCAAGAGGCAAACTAAGGATTTCAAGTAGAATTAAAAGAGCCAATATTAACGTTATCTACATTTCTTTTTTTATATTTATCCTTTAGCCACTTTTCGCTCGAAAATACACTTTTCTTATTTGAATAATAGTAGCTTCTGATCTTAATTTATCAGTAAATATGAACATGAAAATACGAAGAAACGAAACGTCTGAGTATCTATCTAATAGAGTAAAGATCAAATAAATAATTCGTCTGACAGACATTTTCGTTTCCTATCAAGAGTTCAACTTTTTACATTAATTAAAATTAAGCGTTTTCATAGTACGTGATCATTAATCGTATCGCAACTAGAAGAATGACGTTTTATATATAATTAACAATGAAATGATTTTCATTGACTAATGACGATTAAATGTAATCATGATTAAAAGTGTCGAGTAATAGTAAAGTTCGTTTGTTTTAAAATAAACTTATTCTATTTTTGATAGATCAACTTCACTTTTATTATTCAGTGATAAATGAATTCATGTAATAAAAGATTGACAGTACCTGTCAGAAAAGAAAAGAAAAAACAAACTGTTACAATAATTATGAAAATAATTTTTTTCTCTTACTTGTGACATATGCAGTCGACCTGATATAATTTTTAAAAATTTTTGTATTTTTAATACAGAAAAAAAATGATTGTTGCTGCTGTTTTCTACTTTTCTTATTCTGTAAATATACTTTTAAATTGTCGTTATTATTGTGCAAATAGTTTCCATCACTGACATAACAGAAAAAGAAGAGAAATTGTATTTTCTCTCTTGCTTTATGCGATATATATATATGAGCTTATAACTCATATTTTACTTCTGTTGCTCTACTTTATAGAATACAAAGTAATAATCATTCAAAAAAACACAATAAAGTGATGGATAAACATCGAATGGTACAATCAAGAGCAACGGAAATAAGCAAGGATTCAAGCAAAATAAAAACTCTTACAAAATTATCATCAGTATGTAATCATTCTATTTAACTATAGAAGTGAATATAAATGAAAGTGATGTGTACTGAGACATATTATCAAATTAAGGCGTAAAGTTGATTTTTAAACATAATTTTGTTGAATACAAACACTGTAGTAAATTATATTTTCTTTTCAGACAATGGAGAACAATTTGACTCGTGACCATGAAGAATTTGAACAGATACCACGTACAGTTGCTGTTATTACCATTTTAGGATATTTTGTATTGAATATATTAGGCTGGTTTCGAGATTTTCTTCGACATATTGGCTTAGAAAGGAAAAAAGGTGCCAAAGATCCAAATCCAGAAGATTTTGTTCCACTTTATCAAAGTTATGAATGTTTTTATACAAGAAATATGTATACAAGAATTCGAGATGTATTTAATCGACCAATTGCAAGTGTGGCTGGTGCAAAAGTCGATGTTATTGAACGTTTATCAAATGATTACAATTGGTCATTTAGGTAAAATATTGAATATTTGTCGGTTCATAGAACTTTTCCGCTCGTTACTTTGTTGTTAACCATGTTTGTTTGATAGTTTAGATTTACTGATAAAAAATTACATGCAATTAATTTGGGTTCATATAATTATCTAGGTTTTGCTGAAAATAACGGTCCATGCGCAGAAGAATCTATTGAGTCAATTAAGAAGTATGGTGTGGCTAACTGTAGTACACGACAGGAATTAGGTATTTATCAAAATGGTGATGATTTGAAAGAGTTAGATAAACATGTTCATCTCCTTTCAGGTTCACAAACTTTTCACAAAGAACTTGAAAATTTATTAACTCAGTATCTTGGAGTAGAAGATGCAATTGCATTTGGTATTCTGTATTACTTGTAAATACTTATTCATTCTCGAATATTCATTATTTTTTTTCCATAGGTATGGGTTTTGCTACGAACGCATTAAACATTCCTGCGATAGCTCGCAAGGTAAAATTGAAAGAATGTGTAGTAATTCTATTTCTTATTTATTGACTTTTCTTTCTCCAGGGTGATTTGATAATTAGTGATGATCTGAATCATACATCATTGATTCTTGGAATACGTTTATCTGGTGCTACAATAAAAACATTTAAACATAACGGTATGTGGTTATAATAGAAGATGTCATCTAAAAATTTAATCTGCGAAAATGAATTATAGACATGAAAGCTTTGGAACGAATATTAAAAGAATCTATTGTAAATGGACAACCTCGCCATCATCGACCATGGCGAAAAATATTGATTGTTGTTGAAGGCGTTTATTCTATGGAAGGTTCAATATGTCGATTACCAGAAATAATTTCACTGAAAAAGAAATATAAAGCTTATTTATATATGGACGAAGCACATTCGATTGGTGCCATTGGACCACATGGAAAAGGAGTTGTTGATTATTGGAATGCAAATTCAAACGATATTGATGTCCATATGGGCACGTTTACAAAGAGTTTTGGTAGCGCCGGTGGTTACATAGCTGGACGAAAAGTAAGCATTTCATTTTCCAATCAATACAGATGTCTGTATGTTTTTTTTTTGTTTTGAATAGGAGTTAATTGATCATATACGTATACATTCACATGGCCATTGTTATACAGCAAGTATGAGTGCACCAGTTATATATCAGATTATTTCATCATTAAAAATAATCATGGGTATGGATGGTACTGATAATGGTAAGTACCCATTGATAAAAATTGTACTTTTTATAACTGGTTTAGTGTATGTTTAAGGACATAAGCGAATTCAACAATTAGCCAAAAATGTACAATATTTTCGAAGACATCTTGTTGATATGGGATTTATTGTCTACGGGAATGATAATAGTCCTGTTGTACCTGTTCTCATTTATATGCCAGCTAAAATTGCGTAAGGGAACATCAACATGTACATCCCTAGTCGACTTCCCCCAATGCAATCCCCAGAGGGTCTCTAAAGAAACTGCCTGGGGAGTCTCGTTACGGAGTCCATAGGGACTTTTTCGCAGCTAGGTAAATAAGCAGCCTTCTGAAAACAGACAAAAATACGAATGTTCAGAAATCCAGCGACATACTCTCTCCCACCAAAAAATCCAAGTTTTTAGTCTATATATGTTCTATACATATGATCCAATTCTCGCTGAGAAGGAACAGAAAGAGCTCATTTCATCATCCAGAAGTTACTTTCTGCCTTTTATTTAGCAGGTGTGTCGCAATTGCCAAAATTTAGATGCATGAACCGTCTTGGTTAGAAATCTTAGGCGAGACTCCCACACGGCTCCTGCGAGAGTCTCGTGGGGCTTGCAAGGGACTCGAAAGTCGTCCAACTCCCCAGAAGCCCGAGGGAGTGCTTTGAAAGTCCCACTTGACTCTTGCACAATCCCCTCACAGCAGGCTCGTGCGAGTTTTGTCGCGAGTCTCGACTAGGGCAGAAAATGAGTGATTTTAGAGTCATGAGGTTTCACACGTGCAGTTGCAGCACGTGTGACCTTTCTACAATTTCATACGCGTTCACAGATGAGAATTTCTTTTCACGTGTATCCACACACCGTTTTACGACTTTCACTACTGACTACGTGCGAAAAATATGACGCGAACAGTTTCCGCGAGCAGTTCATGCGTTGTCACAAGTGGAATATATTTTTTACGCATGACCACATACCATTTTAAGATGTTCATGTGCGACCACGGCCCATTTCATAACAGTCACCAGTGTACACGCAGTTGTATATATTAAAAATTTCACATGAGGTACGCATCGGATTTTTATCTGATTGGTCATTGTAACCCAACCTCTCACACTGTTTTCAAGCGTCTTATATAGACATTTCGAGCATCCGAAAGTCAACATTTCTCTGTTTCTAGCTGAAAGTCAAGGAAAAGCTCAAGAAATCTTTACCAAAACAAAGGTTTGAAGATCAAAAATGATTTTAGGCTTCAAACTCAAGAGCGAACTGTCCCAAGTTGCAAATTGCTTTTTCGCTGAAACGAAGAGAGATATGGGTAATCGATGGTGCTAATTCTGAATGCAATGTTCGCAGCTGTCCTTTGCCACTCTCAGGTCGATTTTCCAATGAAAATCTTTTGTGCTTAAAATCAATGTCCCGGTTATAGAGAGCATGTCAAATTACGTATGTAGAAAATTATTTTTGATCATCGGTCATCTCCTCACCCAGCTATGAACATTTTGAAAAAAGTCTGTTGTAGCAGAAGAAAAGAAAGATGGAAGCACACGTGAAAGAATCTGCCTGTTATCGTTCTTTTTCCTTTCTCTGCCATATACCAGATGTTTTTTTTGTTTTATTGAGTACACGTGATTTAAGTGCTCACATCTATAATGACTTTTATTCCATTCTCGAAAACATGCCATATTGTGTGTGTGCACTCTGTTAGAACAGATTTTTTTCAAAATGCTCATAACTCGGTCAGGAAATGACTGATGATCAAAACAAAATTGTCTACTTTGGTAATTCGACATGCACTATATCCTGGGGTCTCCTAAATGACTTTTAAGAAAAAAACGTTTTGATTCTGGACAACTGATTTTCTGAAAATCCAATCTCAGAGTGAGTAAGGACAGCTGCGACTATTATGTTCAGAATCACCACTATCGATTACCCATGTCTCCATTAGTATATGTAGAAGAGCGAGGCTAACGAACGCTCTTTCTACTCTATATAGAATCAGTATTCAATGTACGTCATAATCATGAAAAAATAACCATAAAAACCTATGGTTCCGAAAGATGTGAAACTTTTGTCAGAAAGATTACACGTTCACCTCTGACCTCAGCCATTTCACTTATTTCGCGCCCGTTCCACTTGGCTTATGTTTTCAAGCAAAAGTAATAATATATCTGAGATCAGCAGGCAAAACTGGGTAGCATACTTAACATTTGGTTTTTGAATAAAACATTTTATTCAAAATTTTCTCTGTACATTAATGGTGAATGCGTAATCTTTCTGACAAAACATCATTTCACATACAGTGTAAGCACTCTGCTCTATCTACGATACGAATTTCGTGAGTTGGCTGTTAGAGGCCAGCGAAACACAGCTATTTTATGGGCGAGGATCGCTTTTTTTTGTTGAAAATTCGAGGTCCTTTGCGAAAAAAATTCACAATTCACGAGGAAAGGTCCCCAAGTGTGCAATCGCTTTCTGCTTGAAATCTAGTGGACAATAGGTAGTCGGCTGCGCTAAATTCGAATCTGAAATTGGTTTGTGCTGCTCGTCCTCCAGCAATCGGATTTCTTGAAAACCGGATTGTCAGAAACTTTAAAAATTAACCAAAACCTTTCTTAATGACGCATGATTGTAGACCGTAAACTTCTCATTAAAATGAGATATCTACCAGCTCTACTTGGCTTTTCTTTGCAAAGTTATCGAATTTACACGAAAAGCGATAAATCAATTTCTTCTTATTTCTGTAGATTTGAGCTGAGAATGAACATTTAGGGCTTTTCGTATAAATGTTCAACCTACAGAAATAAGAAGAAATTGATTTATCGCTTTTCGTGTAAATTCGATAACTTTGCAAAGAAAAGCCAAGTAGAGCTGGTAGATATCTCATTTTAATGAGAAGTTTACGGTCTACAATCATGCGTCATTAAGAAAGGTTTTGGTTAATTTTTAAAGTTTCTGACAATCCGGTTTTCAAGAAATCCGATTGCTGGAGGACGAGCAGCACAAACCAATTTCAGATTCGAATTTAGCGCAGCCGACTACCTATTGTCCACTAGATTTCAAGCAGAAAGCGATTGCACACTTGGGGACCTTTCCTCGTGAATTGTGAATTTTTTTCGCAAAGGACCTCGAATTTTCAACAAAAAAAAGCGATCCTCGCCCATAAAATAGCTGTGTTTCGCTGGCCTCTAACAGCCAACTCACGAAATTCATATCGTAGATAGAGCAGAGTGCCTACACTGTATGTGAAATGATGTTTTGTCAGAAAGATTACGCATTCACCATTAATGTACAGAGAAAATTTTGAATAAAATGTTTAGTAAAAAGAAAAAGTCATCTCTCTTAGGTCAGGAGCTATTGATATTTTACGGAAAAGAAAGAAATCGCTTATATCTCACGAACCACCTAGTAAAAGAGGCTCAACCTTAGTGGATGATCAGCATTTGATAAGAGCTATGAGCACACAAAATTAGAAGTCCATAGCTATCATGGTTCTTGAGCTACAGGAATGTCGCTACTTTTGCGGAGTACTGTAATCGCTTAAGAGGTTATCGATCTCGAGGCCCCGGGGTTCAGATAGGTAGTGAGCTCTTGAGAATAATTCCGGGTCACCGAACAAAGATGTTCAGAACTTTGGAGTCTTCGCCACGCCGTGTGGCGAAGTTTTTTGTGAGGATGAGGGCTGACTCCGAAGAATCCTTCCGAAGAACTCCGTTAGAAATCCCCTGAGCCTATTATCATTCTCCCTACTCCCGAAAAGTATAAAATTTCTGATGAGTCCTTGGAAAACCCCCGTAAGCTCCCCGACTACTCATCAGAAGAGTCGACCTGGGATATTTACATATGTCTACTTTAATTCATTTGTGCACATTTTTAGCGCTGTCAATCGAGAAATGTTGAAGCGTGGCTGTGCCGTTGTCACCGTAGGATTTCCAGCTACGTCCATAACAGAATCTCGTGTGCGCTTCTGTTTGTCTGCCGCACATACTCGCGAAATGTTAGATCATGTGAGTAACACAAAACTTTTTTTAAATCTTTTCTCTCATCATTATAATATATTCGCCTATTTCCTTTAGGCATTAAGAGCCATGGATGAGGTTGGCCATTTGGTATCATTGCGTTATTCAGTTCGAAATCCTCATCGGCGTCTTGCAGAATTAAATCCACAAGACTATGAATAAATTATACTGAACAAATAAATAGCTGTTATGTATCTCTTTTAAATACGTAACTGTCTGGTCACTATTTTCACTGTTTCACATTTTACGTGAAACATGATGTATTTGTATTCTGTGTACGTTCCATCTATATATTTCTTTTTTTAAATAGTTCTATTTTTGTGTTTTCATCTATCTTCCTACAATGCTATTCAATCTATGATTTCGTTGATGTATTTTAACGAATGACAAATCATGTAAACTAAATATAAAAATGAAAAATGTTTCCTCAATTATAAATCTTAATTATATTTTGGGTAGAGTTTGATAATTTAAAAACAATTCCATTCTTTCTGATAAAAATTTAACATACTAATTTATTTTTAAAATATAAACTGTGATATACAAAATAATACTCCAGTGTATTGAAAAAAATTGACACCTGTTGAACAGTGTGTATGAGCAGTTTACAAGGGTGTATTCCCGATTCGTCGACAGACCCTTAATTGTCTTTAGTTGTCGACACTGTTTTTTCCGAAATGGTCGACACACTTTTTAATCCCGATTTGTCGACAGTTTATTTTTCCTGAAAAGCTGATACACCTAAATCAAAGGCTACCGACAATTTTTTAATTGTCGACATTTTTTCTTATGTAATTAACCTTATGCATACACATGAGTAGAAAAATAGTAGTTTTGTACGAAATTCTTCACAGGCATTACGTTTTTCATTTGGTTCGTGATTGTGTGGTGCTGTAAGAATTGAAGCACTATTGTCTTCTTGTGTAGCACGACCAGAGCAATTAGATCGATTCTCACAACGCCAATAGACATTATTATTATCGGTTCTATCTTTCAAATACCGATAGCCATTAAATAGTAAACATGGTTTTCTTTTCTGTGTTTCGATAACTGAGTACATTTTATTGTATTACTTATTAATTTTAACTCGTTTCAATACTTTATAGTCGATGAATATGCAAAGTCGAAGAAAATTC